AGGGTCAACTGACCCCTTCAAGGGTGGGTCACAGAATGTTATTGTAATGGGCCTGGGTGCACTGAGGGGAGGTTTGAGGAGTCCCAGAATCGGGGGACTGGGGACAGGTTGGCCTATCCTGGTCCACGCTGTCCAGCCAGGTGGCTCCATGTCAGGATCATGGGTCTCTGAAGGAAACCCTGAATCACCCTCCAGGTCAGGGTTATGCAGAGGCCTCTAAGAAAATTCCCCGAAGCCTGGTAGCTATCACCCCTGTCTCCCCGACTCCCCAGCCCCAGTGTCCTTCCCCCGTGTCCTTCCTCTGGGCAGAGGAGGGGCCAGCCCTAGGCCTGGTCTCAGGCCTTTTCACCAGTTTATCCACACACCTCCCCACTTCCTGAGTTCTCCACCTGAGATGCTGTGCAGAGCACGATGTAATGGAAGGATCGAGGGCTTTAGCTCAGAAAACCCTGGGTTCGAATCCTAGCTCTACCAGTTTCTAGTTGTGAAACCTTACTGCTCGTTGAGCCTCAGTTTGCCCTGTTGTCAAATGGGGCAAACGCCTAAGAAGACTGTTGTCCAGCTCAAGTGAGCTCATGGGCAGGAGAGGGTTTTGGAAATAGAGTCTGGACTGGTGAGAAGCATCTCACTTATCCCCCTCGAGAGAGCCCACGGCCACCCCAGGCCCTGCCTGTCCTGCCTTTCCTTTCCAATCCCAGCTGCACCCCTGCCCGGGCCCACAACTCACTTTCCAAACCTGCACAGACTACACCAGGGCTCCGCGACGGAGGGGCAGGACCCTGAGGCGCTGGCAACTAGGCCTGGGCACATCAGCTGGGCACCTTGGTAAAATGAGGCTGATTTCTGGGATCAGCCAATGAGACTTTGGCAGGGACACTCCCCTCCCACCTCGAGTGGTGGCGAAGGTCACCAAGCCCTTCGCAGGCTGGGCTAAACTGGACACCAGGACAGGACAGTCAGGAGGGACCAGGGGTCCTTCCTTCCCAGGGAGCAAGGCCAGAGCCTAGGACAGGCCCCAAAGCCAACTCCACTGGACATAGCTTTGTGGGGGCTGAGTTATCTGGGACAGCCCAGCAGTTACACTCAAAGCAGCTGAGCCTGGCCAGCGTTCAAACACCGATTCCCCCACTTCCTGGCGTGATCGTGGGCAAGCGACTTCACCTCTCTGAGCCTCTGTTTCTTTCTCTGCAAAATGAGGTAATATCAGCACCCACCTCATGGAATGCTGTGAGGATTAAATGCACTTTTAGTATCTGATTCGGGGCCTGACACTTGGAACGTGTCTAATAAAGGTTATCTCTCACTTCCTTCAACTTTGGGAAAGAAGGAATGCTGGAAATTCCATCCTTTTGCAGAAGGGAAAAAGAGTTCAAGCCCACTCCTTCTGGGATAAGTCAACGAGGGAAATCCGGTGAGGGTGGAAGAGAGGGATCGAGCACAGCCACCCCATTCCGTGCCTGGCTTGGAAACGCCAGTCCCTGGGTCAGTGGGGAGGTGGCAGGTAACTTAGAGTTCATCATTGGTTTGCGGGACTCTAGCTGAAATTTTCTGGGAGAACAACTGGGATTTAAGAGGACAGCATCAGTTACAAAGCTGAAAGAAAGTTCTAGAAACTAGGAAAATCATCCGGGCCTGGTGGCTCATGCCTATAATCCCAGCCCCTTGGGAGGCCAAGGTGGGTGGGTCACCAGAGGTCAGGGGTTCAACACCAGCCTGGCCCACATGGTGAAACCCCATCTCTACTAAAAATACAAAAATTAGCCTGGCATGGTGCTGCATGCCTGTAATCCCAGTTACTTGGGAGGCTGAAGCAGGAGAATCACTTGAACATGGGAGGCGGAGGTTGCAGTGAGCCGAGATTGCACCACTGCCCTCCAGCCTGGGCAAGAGTGAGACTCTATCTCAAAAGTAAAAAAAAGAAAAAAGAAACTGGGAAAATCTTCAGTGTAGCCACACTCTCTTCCGCTCCCCAACCTCGGGGGCTGTTATGGGTTGACCTATGTCCTCCAAAAAGATACGTTGAAGCCCTCAGGCCCAGTAACCCAGAATGTGGCCTGATTTGGAAATAGGGTCGTTGCAGAAGTCATCAGTTAAGATGAAGTCATACTAGAGTAGGGCAGGCCCTTAATCCTATATGCCTGGTGTCCTTATGAGAAGACATTGTGGTCGGGCGCAGTGGCTCATGCCTGTAATCCCAGCACTTTGGGAGTCTGAGGCAGGAGGATCCCTTGAGCCCAGGAGTTTGAGACCAGCCGGGGCAACACAGCAAGATCTAGTATCTACAAAAATATTCATTTATTTTTTTATTTTTTTGAGACAGAGTCTTGCTCTGTTGCCCAGGCTGGAGTGCAGTGGCACAACCTAGGCTCACTGCAACCTCTGCCTCCCAGATTCAAGCAATTCTCCTGTCTCAGCCTTCCGAGTGACTGGGATTACAGGCATGCACTACCACGCCCAACTAATTATTGTATTTTTAGTAGAGACGGGGTTTCGCCATGTTGGCCAGGCTGGTCTCAAACTCCTGACCTCAGGTGATCCACCCACCTCGGCCTCCCAAAGTGCTGGGATTACAGGCATGAGCCACTGCGCTCGGCCTCTACAAAAAATTCTAGAAAGTAGCCAGGCATAGTGGTGTGCACCTGTGATCTCAGCTATTTGGGAGGCTGAGGTGGAAGGATCTCTAGAGCCTGGGGGGTTGAGGCTGCAATAAGCTATGATCATCATACCACTCTACTCCACCTTGGTGACAGAGTGAGACCCTGGCTCAAAGGAAAAAGAGAAGAAGAGGAGGGAGGAAAGAAGAAGAAGAAAGAAGAAAGAAGAAGAAAGGGGAGGAGGAGGGGAAGGGGGAGGAGGAGGAAAAGGGGGAGGAACAGGGGAAGGGGGAGAAGGAGGGGGTAGGAGGGGGGAGAAGAAGGAGAAGAGGAAGAAGAGGAAGAAGAAGAAGAAGAAGGAGGAGAAGGGGGGGAGAAGGAAGGAAGGGAAGAAGGGAGGGAGGGAGGGAGGGTGGGAGGAAGGGAGGGAGGGCGGGAAAGAGAGAAAGAGGGAGGGAGGGATCATGGAGACCCATGACAGAGATGGCCGTGTGACAATGGAGGCAGAGTGAGGAGGGGGATGGGGAATGCATCTCTAAGCCAAGTAACACCAAGCAAGGATTACCAGCAAACACCAGAAGCTGGAAGAGGCAAGGAAGGGTCCTCCCCCACCAGGTTTAAGCCCTGTTGACACCTTGATTTTGGGCTTCTGGCCTCCAGAACTGTGAAAAAATTAATGTCTGGTGCTTGAAGGCCCCTGTGTGTGGTGCTCTGTTACCAACTTCCAGGGGCATCCAGGAGCCCTAGGATGCAAAGGCAGAGGTCTAAAATGAGAAGCCCCTTCCCAGGGGAGGTGGTATGAGGGGAAGGCCACGGCAGGCACTGCGTGGGGTCTGCGTGGCCTGGGTAGGGCCCCTTAACCTGTGCTCCCAACCCGGAGTGCAAAGGTGTCTGATCCCCAGCACCTCCTCCTAGGGACACAGGCCATGATCCTCTGTGGCCCAGACAGCAGCCTCTCCTCAGCCCCAGACAGACGCCTTTTTCAGCTCCGCCGTAAGGAAGAGTTTTCTAGATTAGAAGGCACTTAATAGGTGTTTGCTGTGAAAATGAAAATCAACAAGGGCTGCTGGGCGGGTTTACTGGGAAGCTACTGACACGTAAGCTGCAGCCTCTTCCAAGCCGGCACCTTGACCTCCAGCCTCCAGAGCTGAGACAATAAGTTTCTGTTGTTTTAAGACATCAAGTATGGTACTTTTGTTCCAGCAGCACTAGGAAACGGATAGACAGTAATTGGGATACAACCTGCAGATGGATTTTGGCCTCAAAAATGCCTGGCTCCTGGGTGCCCCTGACTCCTTAATGCAAGAAACAAGCGGGGAGGGCTCAGATCATAGTTTCTTCACACAGGAGAGGATGCAGTGATCCCAGGAAGGAGGCACAGGTGACCCAGAAACTCCCAGCAGACCGGGCGCGGTGGCTCACGCCTGTAATTCCAGCACTTTGGGAGGCCAAAGTGGGCGGATCATTTGGGATCAGGAGTTCAAGACCAGCCTGGCCAACATGGCCAAACCCTGTCTCTACTGAAAATACAAAAATCAGCTGGGTGTGGTGGCGCATGCCTGTAATCCCAGCTACTCGAGAGGCTGAGACAGGAGAATCACTCGAACCTGGGAGGCAGAGGTTGCAGTGAGCCGAGATCGCGCCACTGCACTCCAGCCTGGGTGACAGAGTGAGACTCCTTCTCAGAAACAACGAAAAGAACCAAAACACCTCCCAGCAGAGTGGCGGCGGGCAGCCCGTGTTTCCACCGCTGTGAAGTGTAAAGGGAGATGGAAGGAGAAAGAGAGAGATGAGAAAGGACACAGGTGCCCCTCAGGGCTGAGCCTCGGACTGGGCAGGAGGGTCTGTGGGGACACTGGGACAGACAGATCCCCCAAGAACCCCAAGCCTATAGCCCACCTCCTCCTTGCTCAGCAGCAGCGGGCAGCCCCGGCTCCCTTCAGGCCGCAGGTGACGTGTCCAGAAGACCCCACATGCCCCAGAATGGGGTCTCCAGCTGCCGAGAGGGCTGACGGCCCAGCAGAGGTCTGGACAGGTGACTCTGGGCCAGAGGGGAAGGACATATGGGACTCCACAGCCAGACAGCGGCAGAGCCACGAGGGGTGCTGCCCACCGTGCTTCCAGCCCTCTCTGCACACAGGACAGAAAAGGGTGCTTGGGATGGAGTGTTTGATGATGAGGGAAGACTGACAGACAGCAGGGGCAGAAGACAAACAGCCATGACCCTCACCAGATGGCTGCCAGGCCTCACTCTTGCAATGAGGCTGAACCAAGTTTCCAAGGCAACCAGCCACGCCCAGGTGTCCTTGGAGAGGGACTCTCCTCTCTGCCTCTGCCAGGGCCAGGGGATGTGAACGGTCTCAGATAAGGAGGGACCTAAGGGGGTAAGGAACACACAGCCCGACCTCATCGCCTGTGGACGCCCACAGCTGAGAACATTTATTTTCTGCCCCAGGGCTCTGTGCGGGGCCAGAGAGAAGATAAGATTAGGAGACAGGTGGACTTCCCCAGAGAGGCAAGTGGGGCGGCCGGGGGAAGGGCCACATCCTCTGGGTCTGGTAGGGAATAAGCCAGGGACATGCAGGCCCGCCATGGGCCTGGTGGCCCTGCTGCTGGACTAGAGAAGATGGCAGAACACCTCAGAACCTGACGTGGGAGCCCTCCTTCACAGAGGACATGAAGGTGGCCTTCAGAGGCCTTGGGGGCCGCTCGAGGGAGGAGACAATGTGCTTGGGGGTTGCTGACCTCTGCAGGGTGGACTTGGACACCGGGGATGGGACTGAGGGGGTGGAATGGGCTGTGGAGGCCGACTGGGGCCGCAGCAAGAAAGAGAACTGGGGCCTCAGGAAGGCAGGCAAGCTGGAGTCCAGCAGTCTGGAGGCTGAGGCGGTGACAGATAACAAGGAAGATGGGGAGGAGGTGGCTGCAGGCGTGCTGTCCATGGTATCCAGCACAGCCTGCTCCCTGCTGGGCACCAGGTCCTTCTGGACATCGTGGGCTACCAGGCGGATGTGCTGGTCCTGCTGGTCTGGGCTCCTGCTGGTCAGGAAGTCGGGCTGCTGGGTGGGCATCAGATCATTGAAGTGCAGGCTTTGGTAGACCTGAGGCGAGATCTGCAGGGAACAGAGTGGGGAGCGGGAACGGGGCACCAGGTGGAGCCAGGGACACCCAGGATCAGGTGCCCTGAGGTCTTCCCATGCCAAGAAGGCATGTCCAGAGGACCGTGGTTGCCACTAACCACCATTGTCTGCAGACCTATGCATCCACCCTGCACCAGGCCAGGCACCCAGCCCTGCTCTCCACCCAATTATGGTGCTTCTGACGACCCTGTGAGCTGGCGAGGAGACTGTCCGCTTCTGCGAATGAGGCCTCGAGCTGGACGCTGGGTGAGGCCCAGGTGCAAAGAGCTCCTTGGAACAATCCATCTCACACCAGCCTCTCCCCAGCCCGGGACAGGGGGGCCCTGCAGAGACATGGCCTTCAGTGTTATCTCCCATGGCAGATAAGGACAGGGAGGCTGGGAGAGGCTGGGATCTCAAATCTGGAGCTCTAATCTGCTCTTTCGAACATCCCCTGCTCCTTTCTGTCCCCAATGGAGAGCCACTCCTTCCATTTACCCTGTCTCTTACTACGGGCCTGGCACGACACCCTGGTCTGCTGTTTGAGCACCACGGTAGTGGGGACACAGGTGGGAAATATGCTAACCAGCAAATGGACAGCCACAGACCATAGGAAATGCTTGGAGGCTATAGACAGGGGCCCTGCCCAAGGGGGACCTTGTCCCACAGGCCCTTGAGGCTTGTTCTCAAGGACAAAAGCTGCGCCAGTGACCTCAGCCAGGGCATTGGCAAACAAACCAGACACATCAGTCTCATCCCAGAACTGTCTATGGCCCAGAATCCTGTTAAAGGACAAATGCTCCCGTCTACCCCCACTGAAGGGCTGTGTGGGCACAAGGGTGGCTGCCGGCGGACATGGGATTCCCTGGCCCCTAACCCAGCCTCCTGGGGAGCCGCCCCATCCCGCCTCACCTGCTGCTTCATCCAGCCGTACGGCACCCTCATGGACAGGAACCTGGTATTCCGCAAGCGTTCCTTGGGCTTATACGCCGCTCCCAAGACTTTGCTCACCTGCAGGAGCCACGCCCAAGAGTGAAGCCTGCGAGTTGGGGGTCCCCGCACCCCTCCCTGTGCTCCCCTCCCAGCCTTACCTGCTTGTCCCTGGACTCCCACTTGCTCCAGCTGTCCTCAATGTCTTCCAGGGGGCGCTCTCCGGCCCATGGGGACATCAGGGCCATCTTCTGCAGCCTGGCCCAAGCTTCTGTCTCCTTATCTGCCTTCCCATGCAGGAGGGCCATCAGCGCCGCCTGCTCTCGCCGCTGGTATATCAGGGCCTCAGCCAGATCCCGCTGCTCCCTAGTGTGGGAGGCTTTTCTTCACAAGATGTCCCCCCACCACAAGGCAGGGTGACCCTCCCAGAAACCCTGAAAGGCTCTCCCTTCCTGGGCCTGATCCTTTCCAAACTTCCATCCCTCCCCCAGGGCAAATTCCCAGAGCCCACCACTGAGCAAGTATGGAATTTGCAAATCCTGGATCGATGCAGCTGGCCCAGCAAGTCCTGCCACTCTCCCACCACTCTGTCCTCTCCACCATGCAGACCTGACACCCCGTCTGGCTTTATCTGGACCTCCCCTTGTGGACTATTCAAACATGTCTGCCCCCTGCCCCAGGGAAACCCTGCCTTTGCCTTGTTTGATGTCCCTCCACAGCACTGTGAAGATATATGCCTTGATGGCAGCACTGGAGCCACAAAGATTCTGTGGGTACCTGACAGACTCCTACTTAAATGTCAAAACCCAACTCCAAAATCACCTCTCCTATGCAGCCTTCCTTACTTGATCCACTCAATCACGTAGATTGTCCTCCGAGCCATCCCTGTTCCTAATACTCTCATTACTTATCACATAAAACTGCAGCCATGAGTCTGCATGTCCACCTCCCCGAGTAAACTGTGAGTTCTCTGAAGCAGGACTGTGTCTGGTGTCTTGTATCTCTAGAACCTAGCACAAGGTTTGGCAGTCAGTAGGATCTCAATACACATTTTCTTGAATGAACCAGAATTACTGGAGACTTGGTCAGGAATAAGGATGGAGTGGATGGAGTGGGTTGGAGATGAAACTGCAGGGGGAGGAACAAGTAGCCAGCAGCCTGATGTTCCCTGCAAATCAGGGAAATAACACAAATGTCCACTCAGGATCAGGGCCTTGGGCCTGAGCACTCCTCTGCCAGGGACCTCTGGCCATGCAGCAATGACCTCTGCAGGGAAGTCAGCTCTAGCAAATCTGGGCCTGGCTGGGGGACAGGGCCCCATCCAAGCACTTGGGTTTTTGTATTTTCCCCTTTCACCGCTCAAACTTTCAGCTGAGCTGGGCTAAAACAGGGCCTGGGCTCTCCAGCCATAGCTGCCACTGTGGACTAGAGTTGCCTGCAACTCTCAAACCTCTGGCCTTCTGAGGGTCCTCCTCACCCATGTCTAGCTCTACCCAACCCAGGCAGAGGCTTCCTGGGACCTGGGAAGACTCACAGCCTCTCCCTCCTCAGGCCAGAGAAGATCAAGCAGGCTGTGCTCACTCACTGCAGTTCCAGATGGAAGGCCTTCTGGGTGGTGCCAGTGGAGCTGCCCTCTTCCTCTAAGCTTGCTCTGTTTTCATGAGGACCATCACGGGCATCCTGTAGTCTTTTCCACACACTCAGGCCAAATGTTCCTGTGATTTGATCAGACACTGCTCAGAACCACAACTGGCATACTCCCCTCCTCCAAGCCCTCTGCCCCTTATCCTCTACCTTCAGGGGTCAGCTAGTAACCCCTACCCTCAGCCCCCACACCCACTCAAATGTTGAGTGCCCACCATATGCCAAGCATATGTACTCCACAAATATGTGGATGAGCCAGACAGAAGTCCTAGGACACACTCGGAGCTCAGGCCTAAAGCATCCTGCCCCACATGTGAACTGAGATGGAGAGAGTACTATGGCAGTGACTGAATGATCCTCAGTTGGGCTTCAGGTAGCTTGTGTGTAAAATGGCAATGGCATAAAACGGTCAGACACCCATCAGATATGAGATTGGGGATGGTGGGGGAAGGAATGGGGCTGGAGTAAAAAGTAGATAGTGAAAACAGAATTAAGTCCTGCTCCTGGGCAGAGAATAGTGAGTAGCAGGCCATTCTCCTGCTGCAGGATTTTTAAAGTTAATAAAAATAAAACAGATAGGTACAAAATCATTAAAAACAAAAAAAAATCACTGGAGAGCAATAGAAGCAGAGGGCCAGGTGAACTAAAATGACAGAAAGGGACAAGTTTTTCCAAGAAAAGCTCGGAGTGGGAGCTGCTTTCTTGTCTCGGGGGCGCTCCTGAGTCTACACACAGGCTTAATGAGAATCAGACTTGGCTTAGAGAGACAGAGACCAGCAGAGCTTCTGACATCCACTGTGGCTGGCATGATTAATAAATCTCGCCTGAATGCACAGCTGTTTTTCTTGTTAGGACATTTGCCGAGCACCAGGGAGGCTGGGGTTGTAGGTGCTGGTATAGAAAAGCAGAATGAGATCATTGGGAAACAGAGTCCCACTGAAGGAGGAGCCTGAAACAGACACAGATTTCATCCTTGAGACAACTGAACACAGAGGCAAACTGAGTCCTCCTAAAGCTGCTACTCAGCCCCAACCCAGTTCAATCCCCAACTTGATGGAGATGCTCAGCCCTATACAGAGGAAAGAGCAAATGCTCTGGGGGAAATAATATCAACTAAAGTCTTTACAGTCCATTTATACAAGCCCAGAAAAGTTTTGGATTTTTATTTTATTTTATTTTATTTTGTATATATGACATTTGAAAAGGCAAATAAAACCAATAATCAAGAGAAGAAATAGGCATTAGAAGTGGACCCTCCAGAAGATTCAGACATTGGAGTTAGCAGATTCAAACTTTAAATAACTGTTACAAATAACGTTAAATAAAATTAAAGAAAATTGAATAAAATGGTGGAAAAGAAGAATTGCAATCTATAGAAAAGAATCAAATGGACATTCTAAAACTAAAAAAAAAATCTAGCCAGGCACGGTGGCTCAAGCCTGTAATCCTAGCACTTTGGGAGGCCGAGACGGGCGGATCACAAGGTCAGGAGATTGAGACCATCCTGGCTAACACAGTGAAACCCCGTCTCTACTAAAAAATACAAAAAACTAGCCAGGCGAGGTGGCGGGCGCCTGTAGTCCCAGCTACTCGGGAGGCTGAGGCAGGAGAATGGCGTAAACCTGGGAGGCGGAGCTTGCAGTGAGCTGAGATCCAGCCACTGCACTCCAGCCTCGGCGACAGAGCGAGACTCTGTCTCAAAAAACAAAACAAAACAAAACCAAAAAAATCTAAAATTAAGAACTAATTCAATAGATTTAATAGCAAGCTGCATACAGAAGAGGATAGGGTTCGTGAACTGGAAGGCAGGTCAGCAAAAAAACAGTGTGGAATTCAGAGCTTGAAAAAAAAAAGAAAAAAAAAAAAAAAAAAGGCATGAGAGACCTACGAGACAAAGTCAAATAGTCTAGCACACATATAGTTAGTACCCCCACAATGAGAGGAGAGAGAATAATGCAGAAGTAATAGTGAAGAGATAATATCTGAATGCTTTTCAAAATTGATGAAAGACATCAACCTCTAGATTTAAAAGATCAGTGAACTCCAAGCAGAATAAATACAAACACTACCACACTTAGGCATATCATAGTCAAACTGCTGAAAACCAAAAGCAGCCAGAGGAAAAAAAGACAAATTACCTTCAAAGAAGCAACTTGCAACTGACTTTTCAACAGAAAATATGAACACCAGAAGACCATTGAATCCGTATGTTAAATGCTGAAAGAAAAGAAACTGCCAGCTGAGAATTCTATACCCAGTAAAATAGTCTTAAATTTTATGGCAAAATAAAGATATTTTCATTGATTGGAAAATTTGATCTGAAAATTATCAATCTGAGAATTTATTAGTGGCAGATAACACTATAAGAAATAGGAAGTTCTTCAGACTAAAGGAAAACAATTGCAGACAGAATCCTAGAATTTCAAGATTGAAGAGCACCAGAAATGGTAAATATGTCAGTAACCATAAAAGGAAATTGACTGCTGAAAGAAATAATAATAACAATGTCTTATAGGAAGACACAACATATGTAGAAATAAAATATATAATAATAACATAAACATGGGGGGGATGTAAGATTCTTGCACAGGGAGTAGCACTAGGTCAAGAATACATATAATGTCTAAGGTAATCACTAAAAGAACAGTACAAAAGATACCATTTAAAGAGCAAACAGAGCACACAAAACAACAATTTTTAAAATATTTGATTAACCCAAAAGAAATAAGAAAAGGAAGAAAAAAGAAACCAAGGATAGGATAAACAGAAAAAAATAAATAGCAAGATGATACACTTCAAACCAACTATGTAAGTAATTGCTGATATTTAAATGAACTAAATATTCAATTAAAAGGTAAAGATTTTCAGGATGAAAAAAATAAGACTCAATTATACACTATTTAAAAGAGGCACACAAATATAAGAACAGAGATGGGCTGAAAGGGTTCTTTTTAACGAAAAACAGAGAAACAGCATTTTCTCTCCCTTACATGGGCAGGCAGCATTTGCACATGTGAGGCAGGGCCTTTATTCCAGTTGGGTTGGAGGCCACCTATACCTTCGCTCAGGACATGGAACAGAAGATATATGCTTGCTGTTTGGAGGTGGGGAAGGCTCCCAGCCCCCTTCTCAAGCCCTTCTTGGGGTTTCCTCAAGAATAGAACATTTGCTAATCCAAACAGGATGGACTCTCGAATACTGAGAGAGCATGTTTTTTACATCATTTGTTTTATTTTTTTTTTTTTATTTTTATTTTTTGAGACAGGGTCTTGTTCTATTCCCCAGGCTGGAGTACACCAGCACAGTCATAACTCACTGCAGCCTCGAACTCCTGGGCTCTGGCGATCCTCCTGCCTCAGCCTCCTGAGTCACCGGGACTACAGGTGCGCACTTCCATGCCCAGCTAAGTTTTAAATTTTTTGTAGAGACAGGGTCTCACGTTGTTGCCCATGCTGGTCTCAAACTCCTGTGCTTATGTGATCTTCCCACCTTGGTCTCCCAGAGTACTGGGATTACAGGTGTGAGCCACTGAGCCCAGCAGGGATCACTTGTTATAAATGCACTTGGAGGAGCCATTCTGTTTTTCACTTGTGTTCTTGTCTCTAATGGCCCGCTAGGGTAAGATCCGGGTTTGGCTTTAGGGAAAGGGAGGGGCCTGCCTTAGGCAAAATCATATGGCTCTATCTCCACTTACCAGAAAAATGCTGCATTTTTGAGGCAAAACCAAGAAAACCAAAGTAAAATGGTATTTTGAATTCCCATTGGCCACTCTACTCATGGGAGGATAGATGTCCAGGACCAAGAAAGTTTTAGGCACTCAAGGGTTCCTGGCCATAACACAATAAAGTTCCATTAAGGAGTAAAATAGAATTCAACAATATATTAAAAGAATAATACATCTTGACTAAGTGGGGTTTACTCCAGGAATGCAGGTTTGAATTCAAAATTCAAAAAATGTAATTTACCACATCAACAGGATAAAGGACAAAAGCTATATGATTATCACAGTAGAAGCAGAAAAAACATTTGACAGAATTCAACACCTATTTACGATTTTTTTTTAACTCTCTTGGCTAACTGGAAATAGACAAAACATCCTCTCTATACAACAATCAATTGAAGATAGATCATAGACCTAAATTAAAAGCCAAAATCTCTAGTTTCTAGAGGGAAATCTAAGAGAATATCTTTGTAATTTTAATGTAAGCAAAAATTTCTTAGAGAACAAAAACATCTACTTTCTGATTTTAAAATATATTACAAAGCTACAGTAATCAAGAGAGTGTGGTACCGGCATAAAAACAGACATATAAACCAATGGAATAGAATACAAAGCCTCGGCCGGGCGCAGTGGCTCAAGCCTCTAATCCCAGCACTTTGGGAGGCCAAGGCAGGCAGATCATGAGGTCAGGAGATCGAGACCATCCTGGCTAACACGGTGAAACCTTGTCTCTACTAAAAATAAAAATAAAAAAAATAGCCAGGTGTGGTGGCAGGCACCTGTAGTCCCAGCTACTCGGGAGGCTGAGGCAGGAGAATGGTGTGAACCTGTGAGACGGAGCTTGCAGTGAACCAAGATCGCCACTGCACTCTAGCCTGGACGACAGAGCAAGACTCTGTCTCAAAAAAAATAAAATTAAATTAAAAAATAAAGCCTCACATATGTAGCCAAATGATATTCAACAAAAGTGCCAAGACCACTCAATTGGGAAAGACAGTCTCTACAACAAATGGTGCTGGGAAAACCAAATTGCCACATGCAAAAGAGTAAAACTGGACCCTTTTTACACCATATACAAAAATGAACTCAAAATGAATTAAATACCTAAACATAATACCCAAAATTGTAAAAACTCCTAGAAAAAAATATGGAAGGAAAGCTTCATAACATTGGATTAGGCCAATGATATGACACTAAAAAACAGGCAATGAAAGCAAAAATAGACATTAAACGTGAAAACTTCTGTGTTTCAAAAAACATAATCAGGCTGGGTGTGGTGGCTCACACCTATAATCCCAGCACTTTGAAAGGTCAAGGCAGGTCGATCACCTAAGGTCAGCAGTTCAAGAC